GGGGGCGCCGGGGGGCGCGGGTGCTTTGTCTTCCCATCGCCCCTTCTTCCAGCATCTCCGGGGTTCCGGCGATGCTGCGCTGCTGCGGTTTTGCCGGGGGGCGGAAAATGAGGTCTGGGCATCCACGCGTGTCCGTGCACACACACACGCACAAACACACACACACACAGACACACACACAGAGACACACACACACACACGTGTGCCCGCGGATGTGCGTGTGTGTGTCCCCTCCGTGCCACTTCGCAGTCGTGAGGGGAAGTTACTCGGTGCTGACTTAAGGCATCACCCAAGCCTCATGGGGAGACAGTGGCTGAAGTGGGGAGCCCCACCGCTGGGATTATCTCCCCACGGAGTAGGGGAGGCTGAGCATAAAATATAGGTTTATCTTAAAAACATCCATCTAAGCGTGCTGGTAAGGGCTGTTCAGGAAGGTCTTTTGTGCCAAGAGGCCATGAGGTAGTGCTCAGACTGTGATTTTTTTCATTTTCTTACTTCTTTTTTTTTTTTTAAAGAAGAAAGGTCTTTCACTTACAGCGTTTTTAAGGCTAACGTTGCAGCACGGAGCGTCTCTAGGACAGACGCAAGGTGAAAGCAGCCGGCTGCCCAAATGAAATGAATGACTGTGTCTGCATTGCCTGAGCCAAGCAAACATACAATGGGGAGACTGCCCATTTTTGGCATAAGGTCTGAATAACAACTGGGCATCAGGAAGAGCTGCTGGACTGCTAGAGATTTTATTTTTTAGAGATCTTATTTTTTATTTTTGTCCCTCCTGGCAGCCACCGAGGGGAGGCAGGCAGGGGCTGATTCGGGTATTCCTGCTCTCGTCCTTCCCCCTTTTGCTTCTGCTGAGGACTGGCGGTAAATCACAGCCCCTCTCTCTCTTGCTTGTCCATAGCACGTGAGGTCTCCCCTAGTCCTTGTTTGCGGGTCCTTTTGTGACCTTGCAGGGATGCTGTGATTTAAAGTGCTTTACTCCTCACCCCACATGAAAGAGATGCCAAAGGCAATGGGCTCAGACCATGTTTCATGATCTTGGCATGTGTTTTGGGCCGTATCCTGGAGGCTGGAAAGAATTTTGTCCCTAGGTCACGTTGGACATATTCAGATATACTGGACCTGAGATTCGGTGCCCTGGGGCTCCTAGGTTGAACCGCACACAGAAACCTTTGAACGGCAGTTGGTTGTATAAGCTGGCCAGGTGCCAGGATCACCTAATGGTGTGTTCAGTGCTTCGAGGGTGGGTGGTGGGGGGCTGGAGGTGGAGGAGCACATCTGTTCTGCAGATGAGAGCTGTGAAGTCATTCAGAAATGAGGGAGAGCTCATGAAAATGTTTTAGCTGGCCTCTTCCCATTATCAGCTCTAGACGTCAGATCAGTCCCCATCCCATTTTCCTCAGCAGGAGCTGCAGGAGCCTCTATGGCCATAAGGGGCATAAAAATCTTTCTTTTCTCCTCATTTCCCCAGTCTCCAGCTAAATAGCTGCCCACTCTCCCTCCCTCTTGCCTGCATGCTCTCTGCCGCCAGATCTGTAATTGTAGAGCTGTGTTTCACAGCTACTTTATAGCTCTTTTGATTTAAGGTTAGCTTACATGTGAGAAGTGGCCAGTTTGATTACAGCAATGTAATTCCAGCAGCCTAGGTATGCTGGTAAAATTCCTCATGTGGCTACTACGACTCCGGAAGAAGTGGTTTTTTGCTTTCGGCTGTTTTCTTTACGCTCTCCCTCCTCCTCCTCTGCCCCTGTGTAACTCTGGCAGTGACATAAGCTATCATGGAGGAGAAAAACGCAACTCCAACCCCACATTCTTACTCTGGAAGCAGCATGTCCATATGGGGAGCATTACCCATCTAATTATACCACCAGATCTCTGTTGGGAATTCGTCCTGCATAGACAAGTCTTAGGTCTTTTTGGTAGATTGTCTTCCAGCCAAGGAAGAAAATTGTTCCTTCCTGCCAAAATGCCAGATGAGAATATCTGACACTTTGGAACGGACAGGACTTTTCCTTGCCTAATCTCTGGATTAGAAGGCATTTCATGTGGCTCTTTTTGGAGGATATTGCCTTTAAATTCTCCATTCCCTCAAAACATTAATTAGGAATGCAGGCAGAGACAGCCTATCACCAGGATGCAGAGGGACCGAGCTCAGCAGCTGCCTGGGTTCAAGAAAAGCAGCAGGATACTTCATGTGCAGGTTTTTTCCTTTCTAACCTTTGATTCCAGAAGGAAAAACTCAGAGGGCCTCCTCTGTAAAGATTATTTTACTTCCCAAATGTGGGGAATCTGTCAGCTTTACCAGCTCCTCCCCATAGGAAGGTATGCCTGTAACCCTCTAGTTTCTACCCTTGGGAGAGGGAGGAGTTGGGGTGGCCACGTAAGCTGCCTGGCCTGATTTTAATGCCTCCCTCAGCAAACTAGGCCATGGCAGAATGGTGGTCTTTTACACATCCTGGGTGCTTGAGTGGGAATCTGCTGCTAACTCGGAAGAGATTTCTGTTTTGAAGTGAGCATTCCCTGCTTGGCCATGCTCCCTCCCATGATCCAGGCTCTCCTGTTCCCACCGCCTGACCTTTATTGCCCTTTCACACGTGGAGGCAGCTGGGCGGCGGAGGTTCCCAAGAGGTGAGGGGATGGGGACGGCATTGCCCTCCTGCCGCCTGCATCCCACGTGCTTGGCACCTCGGGGGCCGAGCCCAGTTGGATGCTCGGGCTTGAGACTGACAAAGGGTTGCAAGCACCAGCAAGCACGCGGCTGTCATGATGGAGATGGAAAGCGGTGATTCAGGGTTCAGTGACCTGTCTCATTAGGGTCAGTCCTGCCTGCTCCTTTCGTCATGCATGCCTAATCAGGCAGGCTGTCACTCAGCCAGGGCAAACAAGTGTGTGCAGAGGGAATGTTGTGTGGAGCTGGGAGCCAGGATGAGCCAACTGAGTGCTTAAAACTTCCTCTCTGTGTGCTGGTGGCCTTGGCTCAGAGGATTGCCTTCCCCTGCCTCAGTTTGCCAGGTGGAAAGTGGGAGATGGATAAGAGGCTTACTAGCAGGCATGGGATAGGAGCTGTAGGTCTAACTGGAGCACAGTGCTCTGTTGCTTCCATCTACTGATCTCCAAGAATGTTTGTCTTCCCATATCCTATCTGTGAAGGTGAGGCAGGAGGGGATAAGGAGACACTCCAGAGGAACCTCCCTGAGGATCCTTCTGACATTCCCCACAGTGACCCCTGGATATCAGGAGCGGCCAGATGATTTATAATAAACCATATTTCAGACCGTATTTCTCTCCCAACTCTTTGTTCATTCACGAGATTTTCTTTATTGCTGTCTGCTGATGCACAAGCGCAGCCCGCAAGCCCACCTAAAAACGCCCACTAATAAAAACTGAAGGAAAATGAAAATCCTTGCAGCCTACAAATGATCGCACCAAAGTGAAAAAAAGACTGGCTTTCAAGTCTTTTTATTTTCTGCACCCTGTCCACCATTCATCTCCTCTCCCCAGAAAGATCAGGTCCCTTATCTCTCAGGCCATGACTCCTTGGGGCTAAAGCAGGCTCTTCTTGGTGCCAAGGGCTCAGCTGAAAAGTGCAGCCTGCCGGGAAAAATGCAGGTAGTTGCATGAAAATGCAATTCTTTGTACTGCCAGCCTAGCTGCTCGTATTTCTATTCCCTGCATTGGTAATCACCAACTTCTTGTTTTGTTTTCCCTTTTCCTTTTCTTGAAAATGTTCGTTGCCGCCTCTCCAAGGAGTTCTCCTCTGCTTCCAGCACCACCACTGTTGGCACTGTCACCTCCCGGGTGACCAGGAATGGGGATGCTGTTATGGAGAAGGACCTACTCAATCATGAGGACTTGGCAGGAGACCGGGGCATGGTAGATGATATATTTGATGAGACCTACCAGGAGAAAGAGGGCCCCAAGCCCGCCGTGCGATATGTCTGGAGGAATATCATCCTCATGAGCCTGCTGCATTTAGGGGCCGTATTTGGGTTGATGCTGATACCTTCTGCAAAGATCCAGACCTTAGCATGGGGTAAGTACATTCCTCCATTTGTTTCTTGGCATCTGCAAACCCCAAATCTGTTAGGCAGTATTATTTTTTTCCTCCAGGCCCACAGACTCGGGGAGGAGAATGGAGGAATTGGAGGGCTTTTGTGAGAAGAAGCTACCAAACTGTGGGAGGGCTTGCTAGTGTCTCTTGTAAGGTCATGCATAAGAGGGAAGGATCTGGCAGGGGACTTCTTGGCTGCTTAAAGAACAAACTTGATTCACAGGTATTAGCCCACACCTGAGTGTGCAGCCACTTCCAGGGTGAAGCACAGAAAATGTTTGATGGAGTACCCTGACAGTCTCAGAGAGTTAGGAAGAGCACTTTAAGGGGTGGCTGGGGAGGCAAGGTACAAGGCATTATTAGACATGAGGCTGCTGCCCAAAGACAAGAACCATTCCTGTCCTTGCCGAGTGAGGATAAGTCCCACAGAGCCTCCACATGTGTATGAAAGAGACAAAATACAGTTGTGCTGAAGATAAAAGAGTTAAGTCTGAAGCTCAGGTCTTTTAGCGTTCTTACAAAAGCACAGATTAGCCCCCATCATCCCGGAACTAAGCCTGACAACTTTCAAAAAATAAATAAGCAGCTCTCCAGGGAGCAAATTCCAGTGGAAAGCACAACCCAGCAGAAGGTAGCTAGGCCAAGCTCCCCTTTCTCAGAGACCTTGCCCTGGGTAGGAACCAAACTTCTCCTTTGACTGCTTGAAAGGCAGCTGGGCCCGGGGCCCAAGCTGCGGGGAAGCCTTGCTTTCCATGAGCCTTTCTCTGGGCCCGTGGAGGAGTCAAGAAGCCAAATGGCTCCCAATGGGGAGGTCAAGAGATTGCATCCAGCTCCTGCCTTCCAGTGAAACAGAGCATCCTGAAATGAGAAGCAGCCTTAAGATGAGAGCTGTTGGCATGGCTTTTGGTTTCAGCAGTGCTCCTGCAAACTGCTCAGCTGGGAGCAGTGCCCTCACCAGCCCAGCTGTGGACAGGCCTTGGAGCCACCCACCTGGTCTGTCACGCTCTCAAAGTCTGTTTTCCCGATGGCTGTGAACAACAAGCATCCCAGCTGGACTGGCAAGGAGATGGCTCCCTGGACAGCTAGACTGTCTCTTTACCTCCTGGACCATCTCAGCCTCTCACAAGCAGAGTCCTGCGGGATGAGCATCACTGGAGGCCACAGGACCTGGTCTGAGGCTGGCTCCAGCACCTGCAGAAGCAGAGGCACTGACGTGTTCCCTGTGCAGCCAGTGTGGCCTTTTGAGGGGTGCTTTAGGAAAGAAGACTTTGCTGGGCCATTCCCTTGTGGAAACCTGATGGGCTGTGTTTTTCCCTGGGGTGGCAGGGCTGGGCAGAACATGCAGTCTCAGCATGACCTTAAAGGAGGGTTTCAGGGCTTTCAGTCCTGCCCTGTCTGTCCCATCTCCAGCTTTTAACTGGAGACTAGGCAGGTGTTTCTGGCTTCTCTCACTCACTGAACTGACAGTCTCAGTCCTCCCAACTCCAACCAAATATCCTAAGAGCATTGGGGCGAGGAGGAGGGAAAAGGTGAGTTGGATTTAATGGTTTCATTTCAAGCTGCTGAGATGCACCCTGATTTCCAAATCCATCCAACCCTTCTCTGTTCAGCTCCCCTGAGATACTTAAGCGAGCTTGAGCACCTCGATCCAGAAGGTTAGTGCTGCCTTGCATTCAGCTGAGCCCCACCTTACCACAAAATGGTCTCTGAGGCACGGTCTTTGCATCCACACGCCTGTCTGGGATGTCTGTATGGCATCGCACAGCATTTTGTGGGTGTCCGCCTTGCTTTTTACCTGAGGCCAGTCCCTCCCGCTCTCCTCCCTCTGTAGATGTGAAGTGCCAGTTGCTTTCCTGCCACTGTGAGGCACTGCAAGATTCCTCGGTGGCTTCTGGAGTGACAGGTGCTCTGGGAATGGGAGCAGGACATGGAGTTTGAGGGAAATGCACTGTGGAGAACTAGCTGAAGATACTTCCTGCCATATCAAAGCTGGAGTAGCTCCACAGAGATCCCTGTCCTGCATCCCTGGCACTTGTTCTGAGAAAGGACCGCCCTTCCCTGCACCCTGCAGCCAAGTCAGAGCTTTCCTCTATAATCCTTGCTCCTCCAGTACTGACTGGAGCTGGGATATTCTGATCCTCCACAGGTCTGGCTTCTCATCAAGGCTCCTTGCTCCTTCTTGCATTGCCCTTTTTTAAGTTCATGTCGTTCTTTAGCATCTGTGGCTGTCATCTCAGTGACTTGCTGTTATTTTCCCAGCACTCTCTCATAGCAAGGACTATGGTCCCATTTTACACGCAAGGGTAGAGCAGCAGACTTAGGTTGCTTTCAGCAGTGCACCACGGGGTCATGGCAGAGCAGCTCTCCTTAGTGGTAATTCTGGAGCTGCTGGGGTTTTTCCTTGTTTCTTTGTTTTTCAGATCACTCCTTCCTTAGGCTGTGTACATATATTACAAAATTAGCGAGGCCTCAGATGTTCTCTGTTGTGATGCTACAGGCAGCTGTGGTGCCTGGTAGCTGATCTGCCTTCTATATTTTATTATAAGGAGCAATTCCTTGCTTATACCCTGTTCATGCAGGCCACCGTCTCCTTGATGTTCCTGTCCCTCTGAAACCAGCTATATTGGTGACTGTGTCCTCTTTTGTTTTAATTTCTCTGCGTGCTAATTCCTCTTTGTTTCTCAAGCTCTCCAGCCCTGCCTTCATCATTGTTTGCTGTTCTGCGTTGCTGTGTGCATTGTATCCTCTGCTCTCTTTCTGGTACAGAGCTTCCCAGAACGAACTGGGATTGTTGATCAGGTGAGAGCTCACCATAACGAGAGCTCTCTGAGCCCTTCCAGCACTATGGCTTTCTAGCCAGTTCCCTTTTTATTTGCTGTCTTCTCCACTCCACTTGACAAAGTCTTGTACAGTCTTTTCAGGGATCACAGGGCAGTTTTCACATCACTTGCAAAACAGCATAGACTGAGTCTGAAAGGGCAGGATGCAAAGATCATTGACAGTTTCTTCTCTAACTGCTCTGAACCTCCCTGGAAACGTGATTTGCAAGTTGTCTTCCTGGCCCTCAGGTGCAGCAGACCGACAATATTTGTGTTAACCCCTGTTGGCCTGGCCAGCGATGCCTATAAAAGAGTGATCCTTCCTCTTGACTGGTGCTTTAACGGCACCTCAGCTCCCTGCAATGCCAGTGGTGGCAGAAACATGGGCTGATATATTTTTTTGTTGCTGCCTCATCTTTGGAGCAGGGAGCATCTTGCTGGATCATTTAGGCAACTCTGACAGCCTGAAAGTCTCAGCCAGGACTAGCCCCAAAGGATGTGTCCAGCAAAACATTTACAGAAGATTTTTGTTACTTTCCCATCAAGACTACTACTGGCAACACCTCTCTGCTTAATGTCTCCTCCAAGCTTAACTGGCAGGTGGCATCTTTCTCCTCTGAGCATGAAGAGTAAGTTCTGATTTTGCAAGATAGGGAAGTTAGGCTTTAGTAATAGTAGCTCCTAATTCTCCTCCTAAACTCTATTCTTCTGCAGCCTATATTGTCTTGATATTGGTATCTCTCTCCTGAGAGTAGCATGACCCACTTGGCTAGCAGAACTCGCAGGCAAGGAAGGAACAGTCCAGAGCTGTGGTTTTCTGCCTGCGCTGAGCAGAAGCCCAAGGACACCTGCTGGAATGGGGACACCTCTTCATGTAAACATCCTTGGTGTTGAATGCAGGTGACAATGCCTTTAGCACATTCTTGGCTTCCCTTCATAATTTGTGGTCTGAATCTGGGCCCTGAAGAGGTAAAGGCTAGTGAGTCATATAGACATGACTGAATCCGGAATGTTTTGGCTTTAATTTTTGTAGCACTGAGTGTATATTACTGCCAGTGGTCATAGTTGTTTGTATTCTAGTTTAATGGGTCACTGGGAGCATCGCCTATGAGTTGGCAATCTTCTGAATCTCGAATACTTCAAAGCATGATGTGGAAGATGGCTTTGAAACTTCAGCTGATCAAGCTCCTGAGTCCTTCAGTTTGGGGCAGCATCATGGAGCAGCATCACAGGGCAGCTGTGAAAATCCGTGCTACCTTATTTCACCTTCTGTACTGTGTTTCCAGTTTCATTCCTAGAGGATGATCTTGGAGGGGCTTTTCTTCTTCCGTGTGAGATGCTGATTCCCTGGCTATGCAATGATCGTCATTGTACCTGTTTGTGGGGATGAACTCTCTAAATCGTCAGGCTGCTGGATTCTTCTGTTTTTCACCAGGCTTTTCAATCTTACTGTCCATATCCTGTCACTGTCACAAAAACTCTTAGGTATGGCTGATGGAGCTAGTAGTCTCCAAGTAGAGTTTGTGTTTCTGTGGAGCTGGGTGCCATGTATGCATAGACTGAGAATCAGCTCATTTCCCACAGAAAGTGTCTGCTCCTTAGAGAAGCTACAGCTGCTTTACATGGGTAAGAGGCAAGGCAGCACAGGATTATAACTAGAGTTGTGGCCATTGTAGTGACCTGAGACACAGCTGCAAGAGAAGTCAACACAAGCTGCTGAGGTTCATGGGCTTTGGATGAAGGCCATGACTGTTCTATGCCAGTGTACCCGAAAAGCAGTGGATACTCATCCATAGTTTTAATGAGCTGTCAGGCAAGGCTACCTGAAAGCAAATATTGAGTTGTCTGTTTTCTGGATCTGCTGGTATCCCCACCACATCTGTTTTGTGATATCTTGTGCATGTTGATATGTCTTCACTGCTCGTATCATGTTTTCCCCAAGGGGATATCCACAGGCAAATTCTAAGAATTGCCTGTATGAAAGAGACACAGATGAGCTTCCTTCTTGTAAAGCTTAAATACCACAGTCCTCAGCCAGAGTCATCTTCCGAGAGGCTTCTTTTGCCAAAAAATTCCCAGTCAGTGAGGATTCACTAGAGAGGGAAGCCTGAACTCAAAGCTATAAACAGGGCCTCTACTCACCTAACCTGGGATTTACTTTCTAGTGCTGTTGAAGTTCATGAACGATCACGTAGTTCGTTTCTGTCCTCCGTGCACCATTGATTCATGCCTTCGTGCCCCACAGTGGAGAGCTGGATTCTTTCACTAGCATGTTGCCCCATATATCTGTTGCAAGCTGCTGTTTGTCATGGACTCCCTACCTGGTGTTTTTCATGGAGTCTGTATAGGTTGGAGGTTAAATCCAGACTCTCAGCTTGTCACCCTTGGAAATCTACCTCAGCTACTGAGGTGTCTACCGTAGGGTCAAAGTTGCCCAGAAGTTTTATGAAGACGGGTTTGCAGGGTATAGCTGCTTATGTTAAAGGGAAAATGGTGGTGAGTCACACTTCTGCCACCAGTAGAAAGCGTCTGAAGCATCCAGCACTGGGTTTTGTCTTTATTGCAGTGTCTGAGAGCAGAGAGATTCTGTAAATCAGAGTCATATGTTAGGTGCTTTGTCAAGGTTTGCTCTTCTGTATGAATCTGTGGGGATGGTGACTGATTTTAAAATGAATCTTAAAATGTAAAACCAGTGGGGATCTGGTTCATAACTTTCAAGTCAGCCTCATGGGCTTGCATGAGGCTTTCAAAGTGTCCACCTTCCTGTCAATAAGGCCAAAGGGAGACCTGAACCAAATGCCCTGCTCCATCATCCCTCCTTTCTCTCCTTGCAGGCTTGGCCAGCTTTGAGATCTTTAGTCAGCTCGATTGTCTCTTGCAAAGGCTGAGTCCTGCTGCAGTTGCATGTATTCATCCCTCTTCATGCCCTATAAATCAGCTATGTCCAGTGAATGCCTGAGTCCTCTGAGAGACCTCAGAGGTGCTGGGAGATATGAGGCAGAGGTGTGCCGCTGGTCTGAGGCTTGCACTGCATTCAGCAGCAAGTCAGGAAGCCAAGGGAAAAGAAAAAGATGAGAAGTCACGGTCGGTCGGATCAGTAGACAAGGAAGGTCACTGTTACACAGGAGGATGAGAATGAGGAGACTTCATGCAAGTTTAAGGGGCCAGAAGAGGATGTTAAATCAGATGAGACTGGCTTTTAGCGGATAAGAGATTAGGTTTGGAATGTAGAAAAACAAAAAGGAGGTGACAGAAGGAAGAGGGAGCAGGAGATGATGGGAAATAAAGCCTGGATTATTTTGAATGAAAGAACAGGGCAGCAGTGTCTTGCATGTCTCAGATCTCTGATTCCAGACAAGTTCCTGGCAAAGGATCTATTTTCTAGGTTCGAGATAAACTAGATTAGAGCCATTTGGCTGGACTTGACTGTATTGTCAAGCATACCAGCAATTCCTATCCGCAGGTTCACACGTAAAAATAAGGAACTGTTTACATTATTGATCCCTTTTCTGCAACCTGCCAATATATACCAAGGAAAGAGTTTCCCTGAGGGCTTGCTAAGAAGGCTTCCCATCCCCCAGGGGACTGAAGGTGGATCAGTTGACCTACACAGAGATGTGCACCTTTTCCTCTGTGTGCACCCTTTCCTCTCAATGCCTGAGCTTGCAGGGCAAACCAACTGTTGAACACCCTCTGTCTTTCTGCCAAACCTCCTGACCCTTCCTTCCTAGAGAAAGAGTTAATTTTCAGATCCAATTTTCTTCTTATCTCTGGCTTCCTAGTGTAGTGCTACTCAGACCCTCTTGGGGTCTTTTCTCCAATTTCGTTCTGCAACCAGATGCTGGAACCCAGATTAAATTCCAGAGCTCCCAGGAGGACCTACAGGAACACACAGACACAGAAACACATGATTCAGAGGGAGAGGGGTGAGGGTTTTTTCACTAGCTGCCAGAGGGACAAGGAATTCCTTCTGATCTGCATGGAGAGGGAAGACATGAAGCAACCTTGAAGCTCAACTGGGCCCAGCAATGTCTGCCTCTGCTATGGGCATGACTTGCAGTGAGTTGCTGGTGCTGGCGTTTCCTTCTGTAAATGGTGCAGGAGCTGAGCAGAGGGGAAGATCAAAAAGACCCTAAGAACAGATTTTAAGTCAGTGATGGAGCTGAAGATGAAGCTCAGGCTTCAATGGGATGGTAGGTTAGATCTTCTTTTAGCGGGCTTCTGATCAGAAAGGCAGCAGAAGAAAAGCCTGACCCTGGGCTTGAGCTTCCTCCTGAAGAACTGTAAAGCAAGACCCTTGATTTTTCAAGGTAGGAGGAAAGGGAGAAGCGTTCACTGGTGAACTGCAGAGCTGTTACCACAGAGTTATAGGGAAGCAGATGCTTTATACAGTTTTGACAATCCTGCACCATACAGATGGCAAAATGCTGAAGAACCAAGCCCAGTGACAAGTCTTGTAAGGGGGAACCTCCTCCTTCATTAGAGATGAAGAACTGAAGTGATTTGCCCCATGTTGCTTAGGAAGCCTTGTGGTAGCTTGGGCACTCCCATATGGATTTTTATTGCCCCAGTCCGTGCTCTCCAAGGGTTCCTTTGCTTATATAGCTTTGGCAGACGGCCTGCCTTTTTGTTGTTCTGCCTGAAACTTTGCTGCAGGCTGCCTTGCTCTAACTACTCCAAAACCTTCTTTGCCTCTCCAGCTCTTCTGTGTTTCCTGGTGAGTGCTATGGGAATAACTGCTGGATCTCACCGTCTCTGGAGCCATCGGTCCTACAAAGCCACACTGCCTCTGCGAATCTTCTTGACTATTGCAAACTCCGTGGCCTTCCAGGTAAGCATCTTCTCAATGTGCCAGTGGTCCTCAGAAGGAAGTGCTCCCCTGAATCCCTGTCTCAGATACGGGGCACAAGCTGACGGAGAAGTTCCTCTCTCCTACAGCTTCTTTGGGAAACAACCTGCCCTTTCCATCTAACACTGCAATGCCAGAGTCCATCTCATTGTCTTCACCTTGTGCTGTCAGAGGGTGACTCTGAGACAAACCAGGTGAGGAGAGGAGTCTTGACCAAGACAAAGGGTAGGAGAGCTC